CCTCACAACTGGACTAATAAACAGCATCATGATAAATGGAGAAAAGATTATAGTTGTCAAAGATTTCATATTACTTGGTTCCACCACGAACACCAATAGAAGCAGAAGTGAAAAGATCAGACATCATATTGCACTGGGCAAATCTGCTGCAAAAGACCTCTTTAAAATCCTGAAGAGCAAAGATGTCTCTTTGAAGACTAAGGTGCACCCAATCCAAGCCATGATATCTTCAACTGCTTCATATGCAATGTGAAAGCTGGACAGTGAATAAGGAACACTGAAGAAGAGTCGATACTTCTGAGTTGTGGTGTTGGCGAAGAATCCTGAAAGTACCACAGACTGCCAGAAGAACTAACAAATTTGTCCTGGAAGAAGTGCAGCTGGAATGCTCCTTGGAAATGAGAATGGCAAGACTTAGTCTGACCTACTTTGGTAATGTTGTCAGAAGGGACCATTCCCTGGAGGAGGATAACATGCTTGGTAAAGTGGAGGGTCAGCGAAAAAAGGGAAGGCCCTCAACAAGATGGACTGACACAGTGGCTGCAACAATGGGCTCAGGCATAGCAAGGATCATAAGGCTGATGCAGGACCAGTAGTGCTTCATTTGTCATACATAGGGTCGCTATGAGTTGGAGCTGACTCGACAGCACCTAACAACAACAGTTTACCAGTGAATAAGATACTGATTCTTGCTCTCAAAGAGCTGACATCCTTCACAGTACTTCTGCTGGAAACACCAGAAAAGGAGAGATATATTTTAGCTTGGCCTTGAACTACATCTTGACTTTGTTGTTGTTGTTATGTGCCGTAGAGTTGGACCCGACTCATAGCGACCCCTCCTTGGGTTTCTGAGGCAGTATCACTACGGAAGCAGATTGCCCAACCTTCCTTCCAAGGAGTGGCTAGTGGGTTTCAACCACCAGCCTTTTGGTTAGCAGTCAAGTGCCTTAGGCACTATGCTACCAGAGCTCCTACATCTTGACTTTAGACACATGGAAATCTGGGAATTGAGAGGGTATTCTAGGTAGATATGCATGGGCGATTTAAAGCAAAAACTGTATTTTATTGATTCTAAGATTTGATCAAATCAGACCATTGTTTTATGTACCCAAAGACAAAAATATTAATTAAATCTTTACAGACTTGATTCTGAACTGGGTAATTTTGTACCTCAAAGGATATCTGGCAGTATCTGGAGATATTTTTGGTTGCTAGGTTGTCACAACTGGGGGTGAGTTGGTGGTACTAGCCTCTGGTAGGCAGAGGCTGGGCATGCTGCTAATCACCCTACAGTGCACACAACAGTGTACCGCAAAGAAAGAATCATTCAGTACACTAGGGCAATCATGCTAAGGTTGAGAATGCCTGAACAACTGGATACTATAAGTTGAACACACATCCAAAATATTAAAAAATGTATTTTAACATAAATGAAATGTAGTAAGTCATTTTAACTCAATGAACCCAGGATTTGTAAAAAGAATATTGGGGGATAATGCCCACCAGCAACTCTACAGGAGAAAGATGAGGCAGTCTGCTTCCATGGAGATTTACAGCCTTGGAAACCCTATGGGGCAGTTCTATTCTGTCTTATAGGGTCTCTATGAACTGGAATTGAAGCGATGGCAGTGGGTTTTGGCTTTTAGTGCTGGTCTTCTGTATCTGAATGTCTTCTCACTTTGGGAATTACAAAGTGATGATGACCAAACACTGTTTTGAGAAGTTAATTTATTGCAGTGTAAATGAGAAGCCTGGCTCTTCAAGGTGATGTGTCTCTTTCTTGATTTTGAGAAATAATGCACTCCAATCACACCAGTTTATAGATCTGTGTCTGTTACTTCTGATCCCAGGAAATAACACTGACTCACCAAGTGTATGGGATGTCATATTAACTGCTTAAAGGCCCAGCTCTATATGTGAAGTCCACAAGGACTTCCCTGATGCACTAGCTCAAAACATCCTTTTCTTCTTTACAAGCTCTTTAGCATATTATCTGTACCTTCCTAATAACATCCTCCCCCCAAAAAACCCAAACCCACTGTCATCCAGTCGATTCCGACTCATAGTGGCCCCCATTAGGTTTCAAGGCTGTGAATCTTTATAGAAGTAGTTTGCTTCATCTTCCTCCCGTGGAGCGACTGCTGGGTTTGAACCACTGACTCTGTGGTTAGCAGCCAAATGTTTTACGACTGCATCACCAGAGCTCCTATGTACCTCTCTAAAAGTAGTCATTATTTATGTGATTTATCTTTCCCGTAAATATAAGACCTTTGGGTCAGGATCCATATCTGGTTCATAACTATAACTCTCAGAGGATCCACTACAGTATCTTATACATCAAAAGTGCTCAATAAATATTTGTAGAATGAATAACTGAATAAATACACAGTACTGGCAGATTATAATTAAATGCAAACCCCTCAGACTTCTCCCAACACTTTCCTCACAGGGCTCATTTTGCAAATCTTTAATCATTTTAGTAGCTTCTCATGTTCTCATGCTTCAGCTATAGGATCTCAGAGAGAACAGAATTCTTTTACAAGTGCTAACTGCTGCTTAACAAAACACCACTTAGTCAAGTCCATTAAGTTTCAGATGATTTCCCTATAAGATGGCAGCTAATGCTTGGTTTCAAAACATTTAAAGCACCTTATCTGGGCAGCACTCCAAATTCCTCTGAGGAAATAAGTGGCATACATGAGAGTACAAATACAAGCAGTAGGAAGATTTGTACAAGTTGTTCACAAAACCCAACTGCTTTACTGATATTCTGACCTTATGTACACCTCTGTGTACACCTTTGTGTACATACAGGAAATTAAGGGCTAATGTAACAACAATCTTAAAATGTATAAATATCACAGCAAAACAAACAAAGAAAAAAATATCACATACAGAACTTTAAAGAGTTTCTTTAAAAGACAAAATAAAAGGAAGGCTAGTGATGTTTTATTGCCAAACAGCTTAACAGTGGAAGAAGCAACTGTGGCCCATGTATGAAGATTATGAAGGTTGCAATACAGATTAATTTATGGGACTTTTTTTTTCAAAGTTCCCCTGTAACTTTTCTTTCTTGAGCATCAATTAATGTTTGGTGCTTGATTCTAGCAAGTCTTTAGCTTCATTTATTTTGGTTGCTAAGTAAGGGGATCCACCTGACAGGAAAAAGAAAAAGAAATGGATTAAAAGACACTTTATTATTGACAATTTTTAAATTTCCGAATATAAAAATTACTCTTAAGTATAATTCTCTGATATTTTCCCACTGACAGATTACTTTATATGCTGACTGGATAACACAACAACATAAATTAAACTTGCCTAGTGAAACACTGCTGACATCTAAGGATCAAAGATAATCTCTGAGAAAAAAAACTGAAAGAAAGTTATGATCAGGAATAATTTGAAAAGCATTCAAACATTTTACTGGTCATATAGTCACCATTCAAACATCTGACCACAGAATTTTTTGAAATGAAGCAGATAGTTATAAAGTCTCATTTCTTAAAACCTTTTTTAAAAGGGGGGTGAACATTCATCTGTGAAGGAGGGTATCTTTGTGGAGAGGTAATCAATCCAAGGGGTCCTTCAAAGTCTTATCAAACCTTATGTCTGGACAACAATAAAATGCTTGTTAGGAAAGGCAACTATGTACTGTCCAGTTTCTAACCAGCATGTTTAATAATACAGATGAATAAACTAATAATTGAGTCATAATAAAAATAATACTAGAGGAAATGCTCTCTGTTCTCTGAAATGACCCTATTGGAATATTTACAGAGTATAGTCTTGGATTCACAGTATCCTGAAATAAAATTAGGCAAGTTCTTTTTTAGAGTTTTTTGCAACAGATTCTTTCTAATGCAAACAGCAAGAAGAAAATTGAGGTGAATTTCAAATGCAGAATCATTATAAAACACAAACAGAACCTATTTGACATATAAAAATACCAGCTCCAAACTGCCACATTAAAGCTATTTAAATATCATATGCTCTGGTAGCATAGTGGCTAAGACACCTGCCTGCTAACCAGACGGCTGGCGGTTCAAACCCACCAGCCACTCCTCGGAAGGAAGGTTGGGCAATCCTACTTCCGTAGTGATACTGCCTCGG